GCAGCCTAGGAAGGGCAACCCAGGAATCGCAGTTGCGCTCCACCCTCGGCAGAAACGGGATCCCATCCGCAGAAGCGGAGCGAGCCAGCCTGAGCTAGGACCGCATCTTCGATGGCTTTTCTGCAGGTGCGGCCCTAGGTCCGTAGAAGCGGAAATTGCTGGAGGCAGAGCCTCATTAAATACGGGACTTAGGCATTTTGGCTCATTTCTTACACTTCTTGAGACGATTTTGGAGCATGTTTCACTAGCTAATTGAGGTAAGTAGTTTCTATCTACAACAACCCAGTAAAATCCTATAAGTGGGGTCTGGGGAGGGTAGTGTGTACGCAGACCTTACCCCTACCCCGAAGATGTAGAGAGGCTATTTCCGAAAGACCCTTGGCTCAAGAGAACAAAAAGACAAATGTAGACAATATTAGTATCACCACAGAAGTCATAAGAAAAATAGGAACAACATGAAATCCGGAAAAAAGATGCAAAGCAAAACCGATAGCTAGTAAATAGATCCTGCACTGAAAAATAGTAAGACACAACATTGCCACTAGCTATCTTAGACAAAAACCTTACCAAACTAGTCTCACAGAGGTATTACTAAGGCAAGACTCAACTACCTCCTAACCTACAACCTTAATACTCGAACTCCACAACTTCCTATCAAGTGTCATGTCCTCGGAAATATGAAGTCTCGCCATATCATGTCTAATCACCTCTCCCCAATACTTCTTAGGCTGCCCTCTACCTCTTCTCGTTCCCTCCACAACTAGTCGCTCACACCTCCTTACTGTAGCATCTGGGCTTCTCCTCTGAACATGCTCGAACCATCTTAGTCTCGCTTCCCGCATCTTATCATCAATGGGAGCTACGTGCACCTTGTCTAGAATATCATCATTCCTAATCTTATCCATCCTAGTGTGCCCGCACATCCACCTCAACATCCTCATTTCTGCTACTTTCATCTTCTGGATATGTGAGTTCTTAACAGGCCAATACTCAGCCCCATACATCATCGCCGGTCTATCTAATGTGAGTTAAATACATAGTTCATGGGTAGATTTTAACATGTAAGTTAATGAAAATCATAGTTTTAGATGAAAAACCTAGGGTTTTGATAAAAATGGGATTTGACCACGAAAATGGTTATGGAATTAAGTGAAAATCATATATTTGAGTTCATGAGGCTATGGGTAACAACTTTCTTGGAAAATTTTCAAAATCCGGGCACGTGGGCCCGGGGGTAAATTTTAGGAATTCTTTAATTGGGGTTGGGTAATCACTTTAATAGTTAGAATATGAAATTTTGAATATGTATTGACTATTATATAACATTGGACTAGTTTCAAGTCGTTTAGCACCGAATTGAGGGTTTAAAGCACAATTGTGGACCGGAAAGTAAGCTTTGAGACGAGGTAAGTCTCTTTTCTAACTCTGTAAAAGGAAATTAACCCAATAGATGATTTGACTTAATATGTGCCTCTATTTGTGGGGGCTACGTACGCACGAGGTTAAGAGAGTCCGTGCGTAGCTACTAATTATGCTTATGTCTGGGTAGTTTAGGACCCAAATCATGTTATACTCGCGATGTTTGCACCCTACTTGTTAATTTGCATGCTTAAATCATATTAGAATTTGATGAAGAAATTGTAAAAGGTCGAATTTCAGTTACTTGAATTTTGGACGGATTACTTGACCGTAATTTTGGACGGACCGTTAATAAGAATTTGGTGCTTCTTTGAATATTAACCTCTTAATAATCTTTTAATCTGTTGTTTATAATGTATCCTCTCTTCTTGTGGAGCGGGCCGAATGCCTCGGCAGTAGAATAGATGCATATATGGTTTGTGTCGTTCGACCCTCGGCAGTGCACAGCTTATATATTTGTATGTTGGATCGGGTTGTACGACATCGGCATAACGCGTGCGTAATAATACTTGGAGCCCAATTATACTTGATATTGTTTCATCGGCTTGAGAGGTTAAATCGATAAATGATGGAAATTTACTTGAAAATTATTATCAGTAAAGAATGGTCTGTTTATTTCTTGTTATTGAGTTGTTCAGTTTCATTATATAGCCCATATTTACTTAGAATTTTCATTATTTTATTGTTAGCCCATAGTAAGTGTCGGAGTCGATCCCTCGTCACTACTTCTTCGAGGTTAGTTACTTGGTACATGTTGTTTATGTACTCACGCTACACTTCTGCACTAAATGTGCAGGATCTAAGGCAGGTGCATCTGGATACTCGTCTGGCGCGCATCCTTGATTCCACGAGACTTTACGGTGAACTGCCTTCCGAGGCCGTTCTACAGCAACTGAATCTTCCTTTTGCTTTTATTTTCTGTCTAGTTCGCTTCAGACAGTAGTGTACTATTCTTTTGTATATTCTACTAGTAGCTCATACACTTGTGACACCAGGTCTTGAAAATAAGCTAATAGACACATGAGGAGTTTTGGATTATTTTACTTATATCATTTCCTCATAAAATTATTCATATCTCATTTTATTTAATTTTCACTTCTTACTTATGCACTAATTGAAAATCAGCTATTTCCAAATTGTTAAAAGAAGCAATCAAGTGGTTACTTCACTGTTGACTTGTCTAGCGGTAACGTTGCGCGCCATCAAGCCCATAGGAGAAATTGGGTCGTGACAAGTAGTCCAATCTATTTTGTTGGAAAAGACATAATAGCTGAAGTGTTGGCAATAACGAAAGCAATCCAACTGGCGGTGGAGTATGGTTGGAAAAATATACATATCTTGTCTGATTCTTTAACAATGGTCCAAATGCTTAATGGAAGCATAAGCCTTCATGGGAGGTTAATACTATTTGCGAAGATATTTGGGCACTTAAGCAATATTTGACTGATGTATCTTTTAAGTATCGAAGTAGATGTCTTAATACTTATAGCCATAAGTTAGCTAAATTTTCTTCTCACTACTTAGTGAAGTCTCTTGGTTTGACAATTTTCCCATTTGGAATGTCAACGAGGCTTCATCTTATCTTATACCGGTGACTATTGGGTTTGATTAATGCATACTCTGTTTCCCCAAAAAAAATATGCTGGAAAAAAGAATACGCACAAGATTTTTATTGGAAAAATTTCACATAAGAACAACTGTGCACCTTACTTTTCAATTTATAGCCCATATTTCAATTTTCAACCAACTAGCCCAAAAATAATAGGCTAAGATTCAACATCCAACTCCAATGGGTTTTCGAAATTACTATTTAAATTTTAAAAAGATTGCTCAAGCTTTTAGGTTAATTTTCAAATCATTAATTGTGATTCAAATATTAGTTCAACAAACCAAATCCATTTGGGTGGTGAAAATTAAATTTCTAACAAGCTTAAATATGTGGGTCTAAATTTCGAATTTGATTTTGTGAGAAATTTGGAGTGGGTGTTATTTAGACTTGTTAGAAATAGTATAAGGAGATTGTATATAAAATTTGAAGTCATTTAATGGAGATTTGGACTGGTTTTGAACAAGAATTACAACTGAAAATCGTGGAAGAAATTCGTCTACAGATGCTTGTATAAAGGTGTATAAAAGTGTATAAGATGTGTTTATACGATCATATACACTATTATACACGATTATACGTAATTATACAAAAAACTGACTTCGTCTTGTTCCTTGCGTCTTTTCTGAAATTTAACTCAAATCTACTCCAAATCACTTCAAATTTAAATTTTGAACTCCTTGTGATATTTTCAATCAGTTGGAACAACACCCAATCCAAACAACTAACAAACTCAAAAAAATCTTATTTTCGAAAGCAAAGCTTTGAATGGCCTTCAATGGTGGATTTCTACTCTTCAATTTTCTTACATTGCAACCAGGTGACACAGAGGGAGAAACAGAAAATATACAGCACCTTAAAACATATGTAGAAGATGTGAGAAGAAGAGAGAGTGAAAGCAATGGTTGTGAGAACACAGATTTAACTCCATAGCTTTTAGAATCAATGGTTGGAAGAAACATATTTTGAATTTGCAAGTGCTTTCAAAATATGTACAATATGGGTTAGGTCAAGTAAAACTTAAAAACATGACCATTTTTTGTTATGGCGTAAAATCACGTGTATTTCTTGTAATTCTTTCATTTTTATATCATGTATCTTCCCTGAATATTTTGTTTCCTAGACTTCAAAGAAAACACAATAACTGAAAAATGATCAAATTAGCAATTACATACTGTCTCTTGAATTTACTGGAGAGTTTCGCTGCAAATCTGCGATCGACTTAACATTGTATTCCAGCTTTCAAATAAATAACAATTACAACTATATTAACAACCATAACACTTATCCGTGTTATAGGATAAGTTTTTCTCTAAAAATGAGTATTTAAATTAACCTCTCATTGAGAGAAGAATTCTTCGAGAACTCTGTAATTATGAAACTAAAAAAATAATGAATGCTTTATTTATTTTGATTTGATTTTCTGTTTGATGTTTTCATATGTACTTTTTATTTTTGGCATTATAAAATTACTGTTTCGTTTGTATCAACTAAATATAAAACAAAAGATAATTGAGCGCGCCAAGCGCACACTAATTAACTGATTGATAACTAAATATTTTATTTTTTTTAACCCCAGAAAACCGCAGCCGCTACAACCTCTGCCTTTCAGGCGAACACTCTGTGTATGCATTTGGAAAACCCCCATTATATAATAGCCTGCGAACCACATAAGAAATGTAAATCGCACCAGGCAAGCCCTGTGCGATAGGTTCGGACCAGAAGGCATTGAGGCGATTGATCTCTCGTTAATTTGTTTTTATTATTAATAAAAAACACCACTAAGCAAAGAGCTTAGTGGTATATTAAACATATAAATAAAAATTGGAGCGTTGAATTGCGAGGCAAGAAAACCTATGAGGTAGTGAAATGGTGGAGGAGGTGAAAACGTGTTTGTGGAAATTCTCTGCCACGAAGTCTAAGCCCCCCCACCCCACCCCACCCCACCCCACCACTCACCCCCAAAAATGAAGAAGCAAACTGCGTCCTATTTTATGCATCAGCAGACAAGATAAAATAAAAACAAATTAGAAATTGATGTGAAATCTTCAATAAGCTACTGTTTAGATGCATTAATTAAACAGCCGTTTTCTTTAGAAAATTAGGCAGTGACTTCAACCATAGAGCCAAACAGAATTCGGCCAAATCTCTCCATGCTTGAAAAACTTTTCTTCCTCTTCCATGGACCTAATCAAAGATAGCCCCAAAAAGAAACAGCCCAAAATAAGCTACTTTCTGAGATGCTATGGATTTTCCATTAATCAAGAAAAACTATCTTCTGATAAAGTCAAGAGAAAACAGAGCTCCTGCTTCTCTTTTAAGATATTTCAAAGAAAACAATCACCGACTAAAACTGTTCCAATTGACACCGCCACCGCCGCCGTCAAGGTTGGAGCTGAGAAGTTGAACACAAGTGGAGATATTCATGTGGTGAAGTTGGAGAAGAAGGTTTCTGTTAAAAGACAGCAGCTGCCGACTGCAACTACTGTTAACGTGCCTGATCAGGTGCCGGTTACCGGTCAAACCATCCATTTTAACAGGTTTAATAAGGTATGTTTTCAGTTAAGTACATGTTTTGGATAATAATTTTTTTTTCCCTTCGGAAAATTAAATTTGGAAATTATATGCTATATATACTTAATGAAGTCATACTAAAAACATATATTGGATGAGTTCAACATCTGCTAATTACCTTGAAGATCAAAGTTTTATACTGTCCTGTGACTTCCAAAGTTGTATCAAATCCTAGATTGAAATCAAAATTAACGAATTGTATTAAAGCACCGGTAATTTAGCAAAGTTTTATTTCCAATTAAAACAAAAAGGAATTTTATTTACCTATTTTGGACGTTGGCTTTCACGGTAAACATAACAACTTGTTTTCATAAATATCTTCTAGTTTTATTTTAGAGAAAGTTATTTAAAGGTGAGAAAATTTTAAAATTTTAAGAGATGCTAATATATTTAACTTACGATACCTAAAAAATAAAAAAATAAAAAAATAAAAAAATAAAAAAAAATAAAAAAGCAGCCCGGTGCTCGGGTCCAGGGAAGGGCCGAAACGCAAGGGTATATTGTACGCATCTTTCCCTACATTTCTGCAAGAGGTTGTTTTCACTGCTCGAACCGGTAACCTCCTGGTCACATGACATCTACTTTACGAGTTACGCCAAGGCTCCCTTTCACATTTAGGCCCCGTTTGGCCATACATTTTGGCATCGTTTTTTCAAATCTTTTTTGAAAACATTGTTTGTTCATAGATTAATGATCTATTTTTGAAAATTTTCTGAAATTATTTTTCAAGTTCCCAAAATCTAGTTTAGGGTAGATTTTGGGTGAAACTTGTTCTCCCACTCACAAAACTTCAAATATTTTTCAAATAAAATGCATGTCCAAACATAATTTCAACTTCCAAAAATTATTTTTCAAAACTACTTCAAAAATTATTTTTTCAAATTTCAACTAAATCTATGTCCAGACGCTAGCTTAGCGATACCTATGATTGAAAAATAACTTAAATATTTGACAATATCGGGCTTGTTCGGATATATTATAAAGTTGTTTCTAATGTGTATTGTGACATAATAAAACAAGAATTAATCCAATTCACCTACAAATAGTGGTTGACTTTGTACTACGAGCTATTCATTTCGAATAACTAAACATTTGTTTCTAATATAAAAGATAACTTTGATTAAAACTCTTGATCAAACCATATATAAAAGAAATCAAATAAAAGGCCATAAATTTAAGGTATAGTGACGTCTAAATTTCCTTTTTAAATCAATAGTTAATACGAATAAAAACTTCTACTAACTATAAGTAGGTAATGTAAATATTAACTTGAGTACGTTTTAATCATTCAACCATATTATAAACTGCACCAATAGCGGCACTAGATATATATAGTATTTATTTGAACTAGCTAGCTTGACTCTTGTAGTTTTAAGATTATTATTTCTAATAGCTAAGCTGATTAATTCCTCATTAAGATTTTTGTGGCTGATGAGACTTTCTCTTTATAATATTTTATTTATTGTTTAGCTTATTCACTAAACAATTTGTGTACTTTGTGAAAAAATTGACGCCATTTCTGCAGACCAAGTACGATAAGCATCAGGACATCATCCTCGGGAACAGCAAAAAGTTGGATGACTTGCAACATTCCTCGTACCAAAATGGATTAATCAGAAGCTTTACTGTTACAAATAGTGATAATGCAAGCAACCTTGTAATTGGTTCACCACAAGACAAGCATGAGATCAGCCGAACAGTTTCTCTGACGCCACAAAAGCTGAACAAGCAACCAACGCCAACGCCAACCAACAGAGACAAAGTTGATGAAGGAAAAGACACGACATTTAATAAAGGCCACTTTGACTACGTTATCGGGATGTCAATACTAATGGTGACACTAATTATAATGTTGTTTTGGGGCAAGTTTTGTGCCATTGTTTGTACCTCTGCATGGTTTTATTTTCTCCCTAGATTTCGTGCCAAGCATGAGCTGGTAATTAATGGTGGCAACCTCGATGTGAATTCGAAGGAATATAAGAAGAAGGTGGTGTTGAATGGGTTTCTTGAGAGAAACCATCGAAATTATGTTGGATCTTAATGGTTTTGGATTTGTATCTGCTTTCCGTTTTCGGGGTATTGTATGTTTTTCCCAAAATCCTTTTCATTTTTCTTTTTGTTTCTTTCTTCATTTTGGATGGAAGAAAAAGAGCCGGAAAAGGAAAACAAAAAAAGCGTGAAGAAAAGGAGGAACACTTTTTTTTTTCCGTTGAGACATATTTTCTATATATCTTTTTCATGGAAAGAGTGTTCAAATATCTGAAAAGGGTTAATGTAATTTTTTTTTGGGGGCCAAAATCCTTTTAGATTTTCTTTATGGGTGAGATATTTACCTTGAAAGTAGAAATTGGTTGCCCGTAATATGGTACAGTTAAATTTTTTACGTTATTTATAGACAAGCGAAATGATTTGATCAAAAATGATAGAGAATAAGATTTAGCATTCGAAATTGAAGAAGATGACAAGCCTGGCTCCGAGCGCAATGCCACCGAGGACATAAATAGAAGCAATGAACAAGAGCAAATAAAGTTGTTTAATTGAGAGTAAAATATAGCATATGTTTCTCCAAGAATTTTCCTCCCTTACAATGGCTGCTGAGTCTACTATTTATAGCTATACCTAGGGAAACAAGATCCTAGGATCAAGACTCGCTTAAATGATAATAAAAGAGTCATTGATGAATATGTAACAGCAGGCCATGAATATAAATATTCACTGTAACGATTGCTTATTTATTGTTAGAGAATATTCTCTCATTGAATGTTATCCGATGACAAATGCTTGATTTGCTCTCGTTGACTACGCTCCCTTCGGGATTTACCCGATGTCGATTGTACTTATTGTTCTCGGTATTGTTACTTGACTCGCTTTTTACCTATTTTCGGTTTCATGTGTCATGCTATCATTCGGCCATTTATTATAAACAATTTTATCCTATACAGATAATCCCCCTGCTTTCCAGTGACATACTTTTGTGTTCCGGTAAGTTGGTGAAGATTCCCTTCTTGGAGGGAATGTTCCTGAACAGTCTCTGACGCTTGAAAAGACACACGTCTTCTCGCACTTAATACCCGAACACGTATTGCCCCACGATTTAGCAAATATTTTCGCTAGTTTTCGAGGTTATCATGACCACGATTTTTGTCATCTATAACTTCACTTCTACTCATCATTTTACTTCTTTTACTGCCAAAATTTTCATAAGTCCTTCTTCTTCTCTGCACCCTTCTGCTTAGAAAATTTTCCATCTTCTCCGACTTCCACAGCTAAAGCTTTACTAACCCTTTATTTTCATGGCTTCTTTCAGTGCACCCTGTGAAAATTCTGGCCTTCTCTTCGGTGGAGGCCCAAAGAAAAACAAGGACATTGATGTCGATTATGAACCTCCCACTGTAAATACCACTATGCCAAAAAACCTCAGTACTATTAGTGACTTCCAAGAGAAGGTCTCTTCTATGTCTTCACGAACTTGGGTTGTTAGTAGATATCACTCCTCCATTTGCCCTTCTAATATCCCCATCGTGAAGGAGGATTGCAACTATCCTAATCTTGACATCCTCGCTCCGGATATGATAGAGCGGGTTACCTTCACCGAGGGGGGTTTACGTACGTCTATTAGTACCCCTTTACCTTGGGTCCATTCTCCATGGGGTCGGATGCAGGCTCGACCTCGTAAGTTTGGAGTTTTGACACCAGTACCGGGTCTGCTTAGCACAAGTACGCCTATCCATATGGCGAACGGTGGCTTGATGTTACCCCCCATATTTTTCGTACGTAAAAGTACGTCGTAAGCAAACTGCTGTAAGACAAAAAATAATATCATATTTGGAAGTATATAAAGTAAGTTAATCATGTTAACTTGGAAGGAAAATATTTAAGATCATGAACAGCAAGTACCAAGACGGTTGGAAAGCTCAGAAGCTAAACGAATTGAAGAAAATAAGTTTCGACGAAAGTCGACAAGTTGGAAATGTTATAACCCGTATCTTTAGGGTGAGACTAGGGTGCTTGATCGAGAATTTAGTATCGAATTTGAGTGAATTTGGTATTGTTAGACTCGTGAGTGAACGGGTATCCATAATTTGTGACTTTTACCCGATTCCGAGACTTGGGCCCGAGGAGAATTTTTGGGTGTTTTCCTATTTTCTCACCTTAGCTTTGATTTTATTAGCTAAAGTAGTTGTTTGTAGCTATATTTACGTTATGTAATTGATTTGATTAGATTTGGGCCACTCGGAGTTGGATACTCGTGGCAAGGGCATGATTTCGGATTGTATTGAGCTTGGTTCAAGGTAAGTGGCTTGCCTAACCTTGTGTGGGAGAACTCCCCTTAGGATTTGGTACTGTTTGATATATGAATGTCGTGTACGTGAGGTGACAAGTGCGTACACGGGCTAATTGTTGAAAAACCCCATTTTCATTAAGTAATTATCTATGTTTTTTTTCCTTTAACTGAGCAAATTTAGTATATGTAGCCATCCTGTTTAGCTAGGAAAGCATGCTTACGTGTCTTTACTGTCTTAACTACCTCAAATGCCTACCTGGACTCTGTGCATCATGTTTAGAGTAAGAATTACCTGTCTTTTTTGGTACGAATTTAATGTTGAATGAGTTGTGTATTTACTTTGGGACTACATAACGACATTCCGGGAGATCCCCTGCACGTTTATGTTTGGGACTACGGGACGGTATCCCGGGAGATCCCCCTGTACTGGATATTTACTTTGGAACTACGGAAAGATATTCCGGGAGATCCCCCTGCACATTTACGTTTGGGACTACGGTACGGTATCCGGGGAGATCCTCTATACATTTACGTTAGGGACTACGGGACGGTATCCCGAGAGATCCCCTGTTGCTATCTCTGTGTACTGAGTGTTGTTTCTCTATGATTTCATTTTTGTTGACGGTTAGTATTTATCTCTATTGCGATACTTCATATTGTTTTATCTTATTGTATATATAAACCAGTAGGGCCCTGACCTGATCTCGTCACTACTCGATCGAGGTTAGGCTTGGCACTTATTGGGTACTGCTGTGGTGTACTCATGCCCTTTCCTGCACATGTTTTTCGTGCGCAAATCCAGCTTGATCGTACCAGCCTCATCACTAGTTGCAGTCACAACTGCCTGTTGGAGACTTCAAGGTACATCTGCTCACGCCCGCAGATCCTCGGAGTCCCCCTCTATCCCCTTATGTTCATTTCTCTTTCTTTCTGTAGAGATGATGTATAGAACAGTTAGAACATCTTAGTAGCTTGTGACTTGCGAGTTTCCGGGTTTCGGGTATTGTTTGGTATTTTTTTCTTCTGAAGTGATAACTGTATATGCTGAGTGGCATCTAGTTGCTTAATGGATAATTGAGTTTCCAATAGTTAATATTCATGCTTTTGTTTTCACTTCTCAATGTGTTAGGCTTACCTAGTCGTAGAGACTAGGTGCCGTCACGACAGTTCACGGGGGGGGGGTGGGGGGGTAG